CCCCCACCCTTACTTTCCCCTGACCTCTGACCGGGTCACACCAGCACCAAGCTAAGTGCTGGACGGAGCTCGCCTCACTGGATAACTGTCAAAAATACTGTGTTGCAACCTTTCTGGGGACGTCCAGGACACAACATGAAAGAGATCCATCTTCTTCACAACTCAAACAGCCGCAAAGACAAGTTGATGATGATGATGATCATGATGACCATAGATAGAAATTGCTTTACTGGTGTTTGTGTGTGGAGTTTCACCAACTTCAGGGTGGGCTGAATCCAAAATAACAAATTATCTTTATTTAATCCACTTACCTATGCAAAAGATATAAAAATAAAAAGAACCAAAAGACAATTTCTTACCGTCCTAAACTAACAAAAACATCAGAAAGAGATTTTAAAGAAAAAAGGCAGCCCAGTCCCACAGACCTGAACAGCAGCTGTTTATGTTGACGTGACACAGCTGGCTGGGACACACAGAAGAAGGACAACTGGGATTGGGCAATGTTAGCAAAAAGATTTATCACGATTAATTGTGACATTTAGCCAATAACAGTTATGATGATTAATGTTTTTTACCCTATATTCTATTCTTCTTCTTACAAATCATCAAACTAACGTCTTCATTTGAACAAGGTCAAATAGTTACGTGGCTGTGAATTGAAACCCACCTTTTTCCCATTGGGGAGTGGCAGCAGATCTTTGGTAACATAATACGCCACGGCCCACCCTAAGATATCTCCTTCCTTAGTCGTTCATAAGAGACAGATTGACTGAGTGAATCATGGATTCACAGCTGAGTAGATTTGTTTCCACCATTCTCTGGAGGAGAGTTTGTTGTAGCTGACGTTGTGGCCTCAATTTGTATTTTCTAGCTTTCCTTGTTCTCCAGTTTATGGTGGCATTTAAGGTGATTAAAAAAATTTGTAGTGTTAGCATTAGCTGCTCCGCACCACCTTCTGTAATTGGGTCTATGCACTCTTGATAGTGACAGTGTCGCACACAAAATTAAGTCGTCATTGCGCGGCACTAATTACAAAGTGGCAAATATTACAGGATTTATTTGTGTATCATGTGATACCTGTTTTTTTTAGCTTAAAAAGCATCAAAAATCGAATCCACATGTATAATGCTACCCCTAATTTCCTACAGTAGGGGTACCTACTGTCGCACGACACCTGTAAAGTCTTGTGGGCATGTTTGCTAATGCGGAGTTTGCTTCTGCATGTACCTAAAAATAGTCCACCTTCAAACAACAATCATGCAACTGACAAACACGTCTTTCCATCTTCACAGTTAACAAGAAAAAATAAAACAAGTTAGTCATCCAACAACACAAACGTCTCTTCCAACACCTGATACATCTTCAAGTGAAAATACAACCACTGTTTTCATATGCTTATCTATGCTCGACATATTCAACAGTGGGAGAAATTATGATGATTTATCCACCTTTACACATTATTTCAGTTATTTACAGGGGTTAGACAATGAAACTGAAACACCTGTCATTTTAGTGTGGGAGGTGTCATGGCTAAACTGGACCAGCCTGGTGGCCAATCTTCATTAATTGCACATTGCACCAGTAAGAGCAGAGTGTGAAGGTTCAATTAGCAGGGTAAGAGCACAGTTTGGCTCAAAATATTGCAATGCACACAATATGGGTGACATACAAGAGTTCAAAAGAGGACAAATTGTTGGTGCACGTCTTGCTGGAGCATCTGTGACCAAGACTGCAAGTCTTTGTGATGTATCAAGAGCCACAGTATCCAGGGTAATGTCAGCATACCACCAAGAAGGACCAACCACGTCCAACAGGATTAACTGTGGATGTAAGAGGAAGCTGTCTGAAAGGATGTTATGGTCTAAAACCAGGTGTTTCAGTTTCGTCTAAACCCTGTATGAAGCCTTGAACCATCTATGCCAAGCAAAAGAACGGTTTGGATATCTTCCACCTTCGTTGCCTCCGATGCATCCTTAACATCAAATGGCTGGACAGAGTCTCCAATGCCATGCTCACTAAGTATTAAACCTCCTCTTCCAGCATCGGTTCTGCTGGCTCGACCATGTGCGCCACATGCAGGATGGTCACATTCCCAAGGACATGATGTATGGCGAGCTAGGCACAGGACATCGTCCAGCAGGCCTCCCAGCACTGCGCTTTAAGGATATCTGCAAGCAAGACCTCAAAGCAACTAGCATCGACCCACAAAATTGGGAACATGTTGTAATAGACAGATACGACTGTCGACAGCTTGTCTGCGAAGGCATCAAAAAGAGTGAGGAGCACCACATCGAGCAGCTGAAAGTCAGATGACAACAAAGGAAAAAGATTCAGCAGTCGCAGACGATTATTTCCCCAACATCTTATGTCTGTGTCTACTGTGACCATGACTGTCGTGCAAGGATAGGACTGCTGAGTCACTCAAGATGTTGCCTCCAGTGCGATGGAAAGTGACCAATGAAGGCACTATCATCATCTTCTGAGATGGACGGATGCTGAAAATATATGCAAAAATACTGAAATATTTTGTGGTAGTACATGAGCAAAAAAAAAATCTTTCAAAATTTTGACCCCCTGACTTCATGGATAATTTTTTGGGGTCACATTTTTAGAATTATACACATAAATACAAAAACTGATGACAGTTTTTCTGACCATTAATTGCATACAATACGGTTTTGCCCAACCCTACACCACACTAAATGCTAACTTTCATTTTGTGGGCCAGTGGTTCATAAATAATAATGTGCCACAGACTCTCACTGCAAATATATTCAAGCAGACGCTACCAGCAGAGAAGGCACGGCACATCCTGCTGTTGTTTTTAACAAATACACAGTATTAATTATTTTAGTTGTACCTAAATCATTGTCTGATTCGGGTATGATGTGGGCAGAATTGGACAATGTAATAATTTGTTTGGCCAAGAATACAGTTTTGCAAGCCGTGCACATAAAAACAGGATGTAATTTTTAAAAATTGGACAAACACAACACGTATTACTTATTGGTAACTTGACCACAAACTGTGTATTTTCTTTCTTATTTCCTTTTTTGAATCAGCAACAATGCCCATGCAAGTCAAAAAACCCACAATTTTTATTAATGCTTGGTTTGTTTTGGTTGGTTGTTTTTTTTTAGGATTTGTGTGGTTCCCTGTCTCTCAGAGTGAACTGTGCTCTTTTGTTTGTCTGCTCAGGTTTCCAACTGGTTTGGGAATAAACGAATCAGATACAAGAAAAACATTGGTAAGTTCCAAGAAGAAGCCAACATGTATGCTGCGAGAACTGCCGTGAATGCGGCTAATGCATCCTCACATGGAAGCCAAGCAAATTCTCCTTCCACTCCAAACTCTGCAGGTGAGACAGGAAGTCCCTGGCTGTGCTAGGGTTAGACATGTACTTCCTCTCTGTGCATCACGCGAGAAATGCAAGGCTTTTTCAGTGCTGATGCTAGCATTTGTAAAGGATAATTCACTGAAGACGGTTCTTGTAAATCGAACTTGCCTTTTTTTTTCTCTGGTAATGCACATAATTTTTTTCATAAATACATTCAATGTTTCCCCTCAATAAGTACCCAGCTACAGCTCTAGAGCAACCTCGAGCAAAGCTTTACCAGAGTTTAGCCAACCTGAGCCCAGCAGCAAGTCTCCAAATGCTTGGTTCCTATTTTTCTTGTTCTCAGTAACCATATTCTTCATGTATGTCTTTTAACGCTGTATTAATCATGATCTGTTCTCAAAAGATAAGTCTGGTGATATTCTAAATTTTAAAAAACATTATTTTCTCATGAATAAAGTGACTCTGTTAATGTTTACACAGCTGATATTATCAGTCAGCCTGGGCTGAGAGTCATTATTGTTACTGTAGCCATTAGCCATGCTGCTCTTTATAATGAATATTTTTATTTTCAGATCAAATAGCTTAGTGGAAATAATGAAAATGTAAAGGAATCACAATAAAACGTTTTCACTTATGATAAAAGTGCTGACTAAAATGTAATCTCTGTCACTGGAGCATTCTCTGGAACTGTTAGACAACTTTGTATTTTTCAAGCTCTACAAGGAAAATGTAGCTTAAAGTTAGAAATAGCTAACCATTATCATTTGGAGATTGACTTCATGGGGAAACTTTTTACGTGTAATAAATATTGAACTACTGAAAAACACCAGACTTATCTTTTAAACCCTTTTGGAGAAATGCTTTGTTTGCTGTCCTACTTTACATAAATGTAGCCTAGCCTAGCATGACCAGGAGAGTCGTTTTTAGTGGCCTAAATGAAAAACCTTCCTCAATCAGTCCAGCATGCTTTTTTTACAAGTTTTATCCTGTCTGAAGAAAATAAAATGTAGTCACTTAAAATAGTTTATTGTAAAAATAGTACTGAAGCAGGGTCCGTGTACTTTTAGGTCATTTGTTTTTTAATTTTAAAAACAGATGGCTAAAAGCAGCAGAAGCTCCAGGAAACAGTTTGAATCATCAGTGATAGACAAACGATCAGCTGACACCTGCGAAAGAAGAGTAAAACATGTTTATTCATCCTCTTATTTAAGCTAGACTAGCTTTTATTAACAAAAACATGTAGTAGTGTGCAGTTAGCTCTGACAAGGTAACCTCAGTCATGTTCATAACATAACAGGACAAAAATGATGAACTGTTAACTAATGAAACATATAACCTTTGTTGGAAAAATATGCGTTGTTCAAAATGGTATGTCCGAATAAACAGGATTCAGCTGGATTTCTTGTTAAAACTTTATTTTTGATATTCTGACTCCAATCAGGTTCTTTCAGCGCTCAGCAGCACAGGCCTCAGCGTACAACCTTGGGCCAAATCAAAACAAACACGGGAGTTCTGCTCTGAGCAGACACTCTGCAAAAAACACTGACAACTTCTTTCTACTATAATAATGAATTCAGCTTATAATGTACATCTCTTCCTGGTTACAATCCAGAGGTGTTACCTTTTACATCAGACATCAGAACATCACTCAGTTTTGTTTAGGCTAAGAGAAAGAACACATGGTAACACACCAACTCTTGTTCTGTTATGGCCTTAAAGCTGTAATGATCAGAAAGTATAAAATACTAAACTGAATCTAATATTCAATTAATAATCAGTTACAAAATTTCTTCAATCCCTCTCTTGACATATATAAAATATGTCAAAACTATAAGAAATTTTATGAAAACTTTATAAAGAGAAGTTATAACATCTGTTGTTACATCAGGATATTTCNCAGGATATTTCTAAACATTTCCCAACCCCAGAAATTCAATTTTTAATCCTCCCAGACATAAAAATATTCATCATCAGGGATGAGACTCATAATGCTTTCTTTCCACTCWTGTTTCTTCTTCTCTGTCCATTTATTTTTATTCCTCATCCAAAGGTTCTGTAGCTTTGTGTGATAATCTGAACGCTSMTGTTCTCGTTTCACAGGGTCTTCAAAGCGGTCTCCGATCCTGTATACTTTTTTCTTGGATGTAGGTTTTACATTCTCATTCTCAGTTGATGGTTTGGGTTCCTCAGGTGGAGAAGAAGTGGACAGTTTTTCTTCAGTTGTAGGCTGGGGGAACACATTTTCTGGTTCCACTGTTTGTGATGATGATGAGTCCAGATGTTCTTCCAGTTCAGCAGCTTGAAGTAACTCCCCTCTCTGTGGTTCTGGTTCTGGTTCAGCCACTTGCACATTGTTTTCCATTGGTGTCTCAGTTTGCACCTGTTGTCCTTCAGCCTCAGACGTCAGCTGATCACTCTCCTGTAGTTTGGTTCCAGTCGGAACTTGGTTCAGGAAATACTTCATGTTTGAAGCTAACAGCTCTGCTCCAAGTCTATTTAGAGTCATTCCATCAGACTTGAAGAGATGTTTTCGTTCCCAGAAGAGATCAAAGTTGTCCACAAAACTCACAGAGTGGTCAGCACAGAGCTTTTCCAAAAAACCATTAAGAGCCAACAGTCTGCTGAACCTCTCAGCTCCTCCTCTGGCTGCAGGAACTGACCCACTGATGAACACATCCATGTTGATTTTCTTAACTGCATTCAGCAGCTGAATAAAATCCTTCTTCAGGATTTCTGACTGTTGATTCATTACTTCATCACTACCTGTATGAATGATGAGCTTCTTCAGAGTTGGATATTCTGCTGTTATTTCCAGAATCTTCTCTGTGAGGTCAGACACTTTATCAGCAAAACTCAGAACTTTGACTTTTTTCTTGTTCCAGAAGCCTCTGATCTCATTCACCATTTTATCTGTGATGATCACCATTTCTTGATTCTTGAAAGACTCTCTTTGGACTTGTTTTGGCTTTGAGCTGGATCTGGATCTGGTCTCAGGTCCCTGTCTGAGGTCAGCAGATGAACTTTGTTCAGACTCAGTTTCTTCCAGTGGTGTGAATCTGTTTTGAAGAAACACTGCTTCATTTCTCTGGCCGTTATCAGTTGTTTTGATTCCAGCCTGTCGCTGCTTTCTTCTTGCGGGAGGAGAAAAAACATTTCTCTGTAACTCTGGCCATTCGATGTCATCTAAGAGATGAATCCTTCCTGAGAGATTTTTTGGTCTGGCACCAACAGAGTTCCATACAGCTTCACCCTCAGAAGCAGCTCCCATCTCCTCTCCATGTTGATCTCTCATCTCAGCCTTCTCACCCATTCGAACACATGTTGAGTTCTCCAAAGCATTCATCTCCTCCAGATGATGAATCTTGAGCTCCAACACCATCACCTTTTGGAGAAGCTGGCAGAAATCCTCTTTGGAAAAGTAAGGAGGCATCTTGAAGCTGTTCTGTACTCACTCTCAACAGCTGATGTTTCAAAAATCTTCTCAGGTTCTTCAACAGCCAAAAATAAAATCCAATGTTCTCTGCGTATTCAAGATCATCCATCACGTCGGGGTCACCAAATTGTTGGAAAAATATGCGTTGTTCAAAATGGTATGTCCGAATAAACAGGATTCAGCTGGGTTTCTTGTTAAAAACTTTATTTTCAGTCCTCTGACTCCAATCAGGTTCTTTCAGCGCGCAGCAGCACAGGCCTCAGCTTACAACCTTGGGCCAAATCAAAACAAACACAGGAGTTCTGCTCTGAGCAGACACTCTGCAAAACACTGACAACTTCCTTCTACTATAATAATGAATTCAGCTTATAATGTTCATCCCTTCCTGGTTACACCCCAGAGGTGTTACCTTTACGTCAGACGTCAGAACGTCACTCAGTTTTGTTTAGGCTAAGAGAAAGAACACATGGTAACACACACACACACACACTAACTCTTATTCTGTTATGGCCTTAAAGCTGTAATGATCCCTAACCCTATAAAATACAAAACTGAATCTAATATTCAATTAATCAGTTACAAAATTTCTTCACCTTGATGGTTTTCACCTGAAAATTTTGACTAAGTTTGTGTCTGCAGCCTCCTCAGACACGAGCGTTTGCTGTTGCAAAGAACAACGTACCATCTTTTAATTTTTTTTTTATTTTACTGTTATTTAGTATTGAAGTAACTTTACACTTACTGTATTTATACATGTATAATACTATGGTTATTGATGATTCGATTTTTTAAGATTTTAAGCTAAAACAAATATCGTATTATACATGAATAAATACGGTAACTTTAATATTACACACAAAGTGGTCAATGGGAAAGTTTATCTGATGCCACAAAAACAGATTTAGTCTGATATTTTTTAGCAGGAGTTAGCTGGAGCTTCAGGTGATTTTAGCAGGTGAAGAGTAGTGTTGAGTTATTTTGACAACGGTGTTAAACTTCCACTTTGAGAAAAATAATAAGACAGGCGGCCTATGATTAAATGATATGATAAAGTTGAATTAATATAAGCTTTCGGGTTTTTTTCAATATCTGTTTTTAAAATGAAAAACGAATGACCAAAAAGAGTTTACCTGTCTTTTTGATAATTATTATTAAGGCTAATTAGTGTAGCCTGCAGTTTATTTAACCTTAAGATGGTCTTTGTGGGGGGAAATCAGCCACACATTTATTTATTTATTTATTTTAAAAGAAGCCTTTTCTGCAGCTGTAGGTTGCTGTCAACCCGGTCTCCATCTCATCCAACAAATTTATTTTAACTCAATATAAAGAACATAAACACATTTGCATTGTGAATATTAAAGTGTAAATATTTGATACAAAACACGCACGACTTATGCAGCCGGTCATGGTGGCTGATCGCGCTGCTGCAGCCTGCCTAGTCTGTCCAGTTCTGTGAAAGTAAAAAACAAAGCACACACACTGGTGTTGTGCACAATAAAGTTTGATGAATAAATAACTCTTTGACCGACAGCGACCAAGTCATACAAGCTTGACCAAAAACAGGGCCCAAATATAATGAGGAGCCATGAAGGATCGTCCCAAACTCAGGGCAGAAACCTTCTTAAAAATTGTTTTTAATCTGTTTGGGCCTCCTAATGGGGAACAATGCATTATGAAATGTTGTAAAACAAATAAATCGTGCATTTAGAAAAATTTAATTAAGAGGTTTTATAAGCCTATAGTGTTATAAGGAACTGAAATTTAAAAAGTACAGTAATTTAAATTGACATTTTTTTATTTCAGGCTGAAATTTTAAAAAAATGTTCTCGTTCACGAATAAATATGTTAATAAATAATATTTTTCAGCAGTTCTGTAAGGTGTTTGATTTTTCCCCACAGTTATAAAGCTAAAGGACAGTTTGAGGGTTAACCACATGAAGCTTTGACGCACACCTGTAAACCTTTGATAGAACAACCAATGAGTGCACTTCTAATGATGTTGGACAGCTTTTTCTGATTCTCCTCTCTTGATGTACAAATTATCTGTCTGTTCGTGTCTTCGGTATCTCTACACACCTTAGAGCTTCCCTGTTCTCCTGTAGTTTCCCACCTCTGCTCCTGTAATCTAACAGAACGCGTGGATGCTAGCTAACCTCTGCATGCTGCTGCTGCTGCTGCTGCTTGGACTGGCTTTCTGTCTCTCTGTGATTCCACTGCTCCTTCTGTCCCTTTAGGTTCTGCTGGCTCTTTTAACATGTCAAACTCCGGGGACTTGTTCATGAGCGTGCAGTCTCTCAATGGGGACTCGTACCAGGGGGCTCAGGTGGGAGCCAACGTGCAGTCGCAGGTAGGGCTCAGCAGAGGAGAGGATGCAGGGCAGGTTCATTGTTGTAAATACAACTCCTAATTGTAATTATTATCACTCTGCTGCTTGTGAATTTTCCACTGTTAATATTTTTTGTGCTGTTTGTGTGCAAACGTACCAAAGAAATGTGATGAAGTCACAGCGAAACCAACAGCCTGTCCAGTTTTATCATTTTAGTCCACAGTCATAAACTCAGTTGTTTTCTCATTAATGATCAGAATCATGTTTGTTTTCTGACTATGTTAAAGGAAATGAAGCTGTGTATGATTGCTAAGTTAGTGAAGAGTTTTTGCTGATCTTAACGTTTCCAATCAATTTTATTGTTTTAACATTTTGTTAAGTCGTTCATATTTGAGGAAGTTTTTACTTGAGCATATCCGATTGGTTTTGTCTTGGTATAGAATAAAAAAAAATACATTTTTATGTTTTTCTTATCTCATTAAACTTGATTTGCTCCAGTGGTCAGAACAAGCATTGCAAGCCAATGTACAGCTTAAAACCTAAACTCACATTTTATTGGATGCCATGTGCTTTTAAGGACAGTGTGAGTTTTCATTAATGAAAAATTATCAGGGGAAATCATAGCCTACAAGTAAGGTATTGTGCAAAACATGCAGTATGTTGTAGATTTTTGTGCAACTGTTATTTGTTTATACAGTTCTTTATTAAATTTGTTAACTTCTTTTTTGCTGCCTTTGCAAATATACAACACTTGTTAGACTTATTTAAAAAAACATGAATCCTCCCACAATACTTTTTGTAAAAGCTAAAATTTAAGAGTTAATATTACCATTTATTTCCCCTTGATTGGCTGTTAAATCTAGATGACAATTTGTCCTCTGCACAGATTCACCATAGTCCCTATTCAGTTTGGTTTGCTTATATAACAAAGGAAGACTCTATAAATCATAATTTCTATTCATATATATATATATATATATATATATATATATATATTATAACACATTGGTGACAGTGGAAAGAAATGACTATTTTAACAGGAGGAAACTTCTAGCAGAACTGTGGTCAAGATGGGTGGCCATCTGCTTCCACCAGTTTGGGTTTTAGAGAACAGGAAAGAGACCCAGATAAACAATGAAGACTGGTCCAGGTGTGGTTTCTGTGGTAGAACAATAAGAAAAAGATAGATGAATGTCAGCAATGGAGAAAAGGGAGAGTAAAGACATTAGAGTGAGTGAATGTGGTCATTTTGCCCTCCAGCAGGCTAAACGAAGGGATACCTCAAGAAAACACAAGCCAACCTGAACTATAGGATTTATCAAAAAGGAAAGTCATAAAGTAGACAGAGTGTCAGCCTCACTGACAAAAAAGTGGAATTTGGATCCACAAGAGAGGAGTTTGATAACTGAAATCTCTGCCTCCCATTCTGTTTTTATAAACTCTAGGAAGCACAAGCAAACCTGCAGTCCATTCCGAATAATATGAAACAATGAATGTAAGGCAGAACTTGATCGTTGAGAGCTTTTTAAGTTAGAAGCAAGGTTTAAATTTTTTGCTCAGGAGTCAGCGTAGGAAAAAAATCTAAAAGTTGTGCTCATTAGGCATTTTTTTTAGCCAACAACAAAGCTTTTATTTATTCTGGGTGCTCCTTGTTTTCTGTGATGGAGCCTGTAATCTCCAAGGACATACCCTGCAGCAGTGTTGTCTCTTCCTGTTGTCCTTCTCTCTGTTCTCGTGTGCTTTTATGTGTTGACTCTGACCTTGCTTTGTCTGCTGTTTCTGAATGTTTCAGGTGGATACCCTTCGCCATGTTATCAGTCAGACAGGCGGATACAGTGAAGGACTCACAGCCAACCAGATGTACAGTCCACAGGGCATCAATGTAAGCATTCCCCTCTCTCCGCTCTCTCTCCCTACCAATTATTTTAGAGCCATAGGGCTCAGAATGCCACTTAGTGGGACTTGTCTCAGCTCCATGGTCACCTAGTTGATTGCTTCTGTTTCGCTAGTGCCATGGGCAACACACTGCTTTGGTTCTGGCCACACACACACGTATACACACACACACACACACACACACACACACACGTATACACACACACAGAGCCACCTTCTGAGGCTGTCACATTCAATCAGGTACGGCTAAACACCTGCAGTTGCACACAGCCAGCCACTGAGAGAGCTAAACAAACAGGTGACACCTTCGGGAGCCTCTGCCCACCTGACCCATCGTTAGCGGTCTCAGAGCCAGCAGCTGCCATTAATGCTTCCCCAGGAGGCGACTCCACAATGTCTCTGTAAATGAAACTTAATGCTGCTGGAAACTAGCGCTGGGCGATATGATCAAAATTTTATATCACGGTATTTTCAGTATTTTCACTGGTTTCACTGTATTTGACGGTATTTTTCTTTTCATCACAGCTCAGCTGATAATAAAATGTACAAACCCTGCTTATTGACTTTTTTTCTTTTGCTGTACCTCTGTCTGTGTCTCTGTTTCCCTCCTCTGTGTCTGTTCTTCTCTGACTGGTGGTTGGAGACAGTAGTCATGCATTTTGGTCCAGTCGTGAAGGAGGAGGGTTAAGAAAAGATTATGATCGGGTTTGTTGTTTTATGTTATTTATTAAAGCTTGTCAGCAMGACTCACCTTGCACACCAGTCAATTCCAACTCCACTACTAACTACTTCCTGCAGGCTTTTCACAATAGAACCACGTTAAGTCTCCATCAGCATAACGTCTCCATATTAACTAACCGCGTTAAATCTAACTGTGCACGTCACTGAAGAGGTGTTTACTACATTCAGCGACGGCGAAAACTGTATGTTTTTTTTAAACGTCAGTCAATATAAGCAGCGGAATCGCCACCCGCGGCTGCAACTAGCTGCTCCAAACATTAGCATGCTAACGCACATAGCGGTGCAGCAAGGAAAAATGTCCCCCGGGAAACAACAGTTCACTGGCGGCCGCGACGAAACGTTCCGCTATTTAAACCGGAATGTCCGGTATTCAAAAAATTCATATCATAACAAAAATAAAAACCGGTATTCGGTACAAAACGGTATACCGCCCAGCACTACTGGAAACCCCTCCTCGTGTGCCAATTTATCATCGTCTGCCGCCAAAAGACGAAGGCACAGCTAACCAAACCGTTAGCGTCACTAACCACGTATCTGCTGAACAAGAATCTTAGCTCCGCTAACACTAAAGCGCTAAACAGATAAAAGATTAGATGAAGCTAGCAGTAGTCGCTAAGATGATTTTCAGTTTGTCTCACACGTGTTCATCTCCTTAAGTTGAAGACTGTAGCTGTGTTTCCAATGACCATGAAAATGAGCAAATTAGAATTTCGAAAATAAATTTGCTCAATGGAAAGACAAAATGTTTTTGCGCTAGGATGAGGTGGTTTTTCGGCCATATCAAAATTGGTGTTTCGCAAAACTGCAATGGAAACACTTTTTTTGCATCACAGGAGTCACGTGATCAAAAACCAGCTGTTTCTACTGGCGAAACGACGACAACGAAGAAGACAACAGGAAGTAGAAGTTGTAGTAAAATCACCAAAGTTGTAAAAGAAAGTAGTAAACTCACCGACTACAATTTCCCAAAAATGCTGCATTAGTAGCCTCTCCCAAGTATAAGGGGCTTGTCACTGGAAAGCCTCGATAAGACGCCGACATCTCCTCTGATGATGAGCGCTAGTGCCATGGTAGCAATTATGCATGTGTTTACATCCATCGCCGCCATGTTTGTGATGACTTATCGCGAGAACAAACGTATTCACACATGACTTTAACGGCATTTCTTACTTAATGGAAACACCGCAATTGCAAAACTGTGTATTTTTGACATTAACAGAATATCGATAAAGTTTTGCGCACATTTGCAATGGAAACGCAGCTAGTGACACGATTGATGTGAGTTATTGATAGTTTGTATTTTTATAAATACAGTTTGAAGTTAGTCAATCAACACATAGCAAATACTTTCTCTATCCTATTTTATATGTAGTCAATTTTAGTATTTGTTTTTTAAACATTAATTTTTTTTTTCTTTTTGACGCTCATAGTTTTTGAAGTTTGGCTGCTAAAGATGCTTGTAAAAATAGCAGTTTAACAGTTGTGAATGTTTTAGTGGACTTAAAATTAGTGGTTTCCAAAGTTAGCAAAAAAAAGGCTAACCGCTAAATGAAAAGCTAGTTTCTTATTAGCGAATTAGCAGAACTGTGCCCACCACAGGTAACAACACACACAAACCACAGGTAGAAACCTGTAGAAAGTAATCATCAGCTGTAGCTCCACAACTGATTATCTTTTGGAATCAACATGCTTCAAGATGGCTGCCACAGCCAACTGACTTTAAAAAACGAAAAAATGGATATAATAAGTTCTTTTTCACAGGTATTGAGCTAAACTCTGATGTGACTATAGCTAAGGGTCATTCACAAAGCATACTGCTAGGGCTACTCATTGTGAGAGAAGTCAACCATCTTTGTCTGTTAGCAAAATATCTCATAAAGCACTTAACAGATTTTAATGACATTTGTTTGGAGTTGATGCAATTCAACAAAGCCACAGCATCCAAATAACTTTGGAAACCACAATAACAGCTGCAATTCAGTCACAGTCACAGATGCAAACAATAAATCGACTTATGATTAATGATCAAATGATTTAAAAGTTCAATAAATAAGTTGAATAAAAATAATGTTTTATTCGATTAACTGGTAGCGTCACTTGGACGGACTGGATATGCCGTCTCTGAGACTCTGTTTCAATTTGAGTTTCAAACTTTAAACCAGATTTTAAATTGTGTTGCTAGGCCCAGTAGAGCTGAAGTCAGTGATAAATAATAATAAACGACACCTTTTTCGCCATCTTTTTTTCTGACCAGTTATTTATCAATCAGCAAAAGATCTGCAGGACGAAGTAAATAAAGACGTGATTATGATAGATATGTTCAAGTATGGCTGTTACTTTACATTGCTATCGTGTTTGAAATAAAAAAAATTGATTGATTGATTGATTGAAAGTTGAGTGAAGTCTGGCGCTGTTGATTAAATTTGTAATATTTAGCATGTTTGTTTTTATGCTTAGTGTGTAGTTCTCTTGATTCAAGAGAAAAACCAGGTTTTTAAGAAAATATCAGCTTATCAATTAACCCTTAGTCAATCGATAAGATCAATCAACTTTAGATTAATTCATTAATCGATAACTTGCATCCCTAGACCACAACACGTACTTTGAGCTTTTTGCTTAAAACTTTGGCGCTACCTGTTGGAGTCACTCATATTTGTCTGTTAGCAAAATATCTTGTGAACCATCTGATACATCTGGATCAAACGTTCAGAAAGTAAATCAGTGGAGGTACGTGTAGGTACAGTCCAATTCAAGATGGCTGCCACAGCTAGTTGACCCTCATCAGCACAAAAATACAACAGCTTTACAGATACTGAGCTACCATTTGATGTGGTAGAGGCCAGGCCGTTATTTTGTTTTTCATATTTTACAGACGAGTTTGGGTGTGGAAGTGGGGGTTGGGGAGGTTGTTTGTGGGGGGGCTCACTAGCTGGCGGCGGCGAACAGTAGGAAAATTCACAGCGACAAGCCGTGTCGTAAAGGGGAAAATCGATAAGACAGACACAAGGAGAGCAGAGTGTGGACTTGGGACAGCAATCCAAGCGCATTGCTCAGATCATGTTCCTGCCACATTAATGGCCCTGACAGCGAGCCACGCTGAGAGGACGAGGACGGTCACGGACGCGCTCGGGTTCCTCCGCTGTCACCATCGTGCCTCACTGGCCATATGATAATCAGATGAAATGTCTCCCGCATAGGAAAAAAAAAAAAAAAAAAACAGGGGACGTATATTCAAATTGGGCTGCTGTGCTCTCGTGCTGCAGCCAGCTGCGTGGAGCCCTGAGAGGCCGCTAACGTATTCAGGCCCTGTTCGTTCTCAGGCTTTTCACCTCAAACATGCAGTTCTCCTTGGATGCCTGCTTGCTCTACCACATCTTCCACTGCCACAACACACTGTGTTATTCACATTTAGAGTGTAAAAAAAAAGAAAAAAAAACACCTTGTGATGCATAATGTAAGAGCAGGATATGTGTCTGCCCCTCTGTTCGCCTGCCATTTATACAGCTATGGATGCAAAATAAGAGCTTTCTGCTCATTTAGTTATTATATTTAATTCCCTGCAACTCATTTTTGTTTTAAATATTTCTTATGTTTCTACCAGAACTTTTATGTTAACTGGTGCACAGATTTGTAAAGATTGTGAATGTTTAACATGTATATTTAGAACGATGAAACCCTAAACTGTACTGATAAGACGTAGATATATTTTTATCTAGAATTTTTTTTGTATAAGTTAAAGCACATAAACTAATAAATCATGTTCATTTATTGTTAGATACAGATTGTAAAAAAATTATATGTTTAAATATTTTTTAAAGGCTGTATATTGTTAAAAGCCTGGCATTCCTTGAAGGAATGTACATGACCTTGTTTCATATCAGAGATTGAGACTAAGATTATTTTATGCTGAAAAATAAAGAAGTAAATAACATTATGTGCAATGTTATGCATTTTCACAAGATTTTACCAACAGTCCATTATATGTGAATGACTCTCTGCTACAACCAGATTTAACTTCAGCTCAGTGTCTAATCCTGACCCTTAAATCTGTGATTTGTAAAAGGCATTGAATTGATCAATCTAAAAACAATCTAAAAATAAAATCTTAATTAGCTTTAAATTGTCTTAAATCAGTCTTTCAGTGATCTTAAAAATGTTAGCACATTGTAAGTAGGATGATTGTAGTCTCAAATATTAAAATAATTGGTAACATTTATTTATTTATTTTTAAATAATTTACCAAATCCCTCTCACAGCTAGTTTTACATTAAAATACACATCTAGCTAAAAGTGTTGCTGTTTTTTTTTTTAATTTTTCATTTAATTTTATTTTTGTGAAGTTGGTCTTAAATTAAAATTTTAATTGAGGTCTTAAAACGTCTTTTTTTTCTCTCTTTTAGATCATATTGCTCTTTTAAATCTGTGTGTTTTCATATTCTTTTCTTTAATTGCACCAAGAGGGGGCGCTGTAACCCAGTTTTGTTGTACAAATGTACAAGAACAATGCAGTGATGATAAAGGTTCACTGCAAATTGAACTTGCCTTAAGCTGCAGGAACCCTCTGTCAGTGCGCCCCAGGGCAGCTGTGGCTACAGTTGTAGTTTGCCATCATCAGTGTGTGAATGTGTGTGTGCATGGGTTAATGTCTGTAGTGTAAAGCGCTTTGAGTGTCCTGGATGGGTAGAAAGGCGCTATATCAGTACAGTCCATTTACCATTTACCATTTTATCCTGTGTAAAATGAGCTGAGTTAGAGCTACTTTCAGTTTGGTGGCGGCCACCTTGAACAGTTTGCTCTACAAGTTAATCAGTCATTGATGGATCACCAGTGATTATTTTATGACCATATTGTTCAAATCTGCTCATGGTTTGTGACGTACGTTGCTAGAAAAGTTCATTCCAAATAGTTATTAGCAACATTTTAAACAATCTGTCAGCATTCACCAAGTTTTATGGTCAATATTTATTTGTAAAACTGGCAGTTTTAGCCATCTTGAATTAGTTTGACTCTAAACATCAGTCAGTTGTAGATGTTCATCTAGTGATGGCCTTCTGACAGAGCCCCAGATGATATGTGGCCAACAGATAAACAGGGTTGAAGACAACAGTTAAAGCCAAAGTTTTAAGCAACGATTTTATGCAACGACCAGCTCTCACAGCGATAGGAATGAATCTCCGCTACTACCATGTCAAATTATCACTCAATATTTGTACATTTAGCTGAGTTTTAGCCATTTTTATGTTTTGTAAGGTTACCCGATTGTTGATGCATCACTGGCTGTACGTCTTCAACTGATTCGCTTTCAAACAAGAGCTGACAAGTCTCAAAAGTTCACACGAGATCGAGTAATTTACAAACTTTGACCAAAACAGCCACAATTTCTTAACTAATTTCATCAGAAAAATCTTAACATGTTTGAGTGGACGGGTCACCAGTAAACTGGCTGATCCACCATGCAAAGCTTCTAAGAGTTTACCTGTAACTCCTCAGACAAGAAGTCGCTCGGAGGAGAGACAAAATGTTTTTCAACAAAGGCTACGTTCACACTGCAGGCAAATCCGACCCAAATCCGATTTTTTTGACCCATCTGACTCATATCCGATTTTTTTATGACAGTCTGAACGAGACAAATCCGATTTTTTTCAAATCCGACCCAGGCCGTTTCAGTATGTGGTTTTAAATCGGATATATATCTGATGTTTTCAAAGTGACTGCAGTGTGAACGCTCATGTCACATTACATCTGACTTTTTCATCAGTGAGGAGGGGCTGAAGGATCGATAAGACACTAACCTGAAGTCTCGCTGTTTAAATCTGTAGCTCCGTGTGTTTACAGCTCCAAAACACAAGTCCAGTTGCTTCATCTTTTTACTTTTCATTTTCCACGTAGATAGTATGATAATAACGCTGTCCAGCCTGGGTCACGGAGAGTTTCGATCCTAAAGTTCGATACTTGGTCGATACTTTATTTCCAGCTCGTAGTTTCGTTAAAAAAACTGTCAGAGACAGGTTCAGATATAAACACTGAACTAAAGAAGCAGGTCAGATAATTATTTAATCGGCTCTGATTAAACAACAACTTCAGATTCGACGTGCTAAAAGTAGCATCCATGCTAGCTCTGTAAACAAACAAGCCGGCTGATGAGACGTCACGTCTTTTACTGCGCATGCGTGTCACATCAGTGCTGTGTAACGTTCACACAGGGGTCTGATGCAGGTCACATTAAAAATGTAATGTGAACGTTCACACAAAAAGATCGGATTTTTTCAAAAAATCGGAACTGAGCATTAAGACCTGCAGTGTGAACGTAGCCAAAGATGAACCCGTCCAAAGGACCTGACTCAACTTTGGTAGATTTTTGCCAGGATTATTGAGATACATCAGGATAAATGCACGGCACTGTTGCTCATTTGCAAACATGTTTTTATTGTCAAACGAATGGCTGTATGTTGAGCTAATCGTGCTCTGTTCCCGTCCAGGAAGTAGTCTGGTTACCAGCTGTGTTTCTTCCAGTATTTAACCAGGACCATCCCCTCACGTTGCACTGACTCACCAACGTTCCGTTTGTTGTTTCAGGCAAACGGTGGCTGGCCGGACGCTCCCACCCCCTCATCAGTGACTTCACCAACAGAAGGACCTGGAAGCGTTCACTCCGACACCTCCAACTGATCCTCCTTCCTCTGACTCCCACCTCCTCCTCAAGCCCCGCCCCCCCTCCAGTTGCATCCCCTCTAACTGAAACTCTTATCCATCGTTACCAGACTGGATGTGATGTGAGGCAGCAGGGTGCAGTTGGAGTCTGGGGGTTGATGCTTCCAAACATTACGAACAAGTCTCCCATCCGTCCGGACCACCGGTGCAGCACTACCAGCCTGCGGACGGCCTCCCGTTCACCCTTTGTACAGTTTCCACTCGATGTCCATGTTGCCTCTTTGTAATTCCTCCTTACATCATCAAACTCCCACCGTCAGCATCACGGTTTTCGCTCCGCCTCTCATGAAATGAAAACGCTCTCACTACCTCTATTCAGAACAAACCACACAACAAACACTCCAGAGGCTTCACTTTTACACATTTTTATAACGACCCCCACATCACACCCTGGCTTCTGTTCTAAACCTGGTGATCAGATCGTTTTCGATTTATCTGCAATGCCAAAGTTCAACCCTGGAGGTGAATTTTGTTCATATTTTTGTTGTTGCTTACTGCAGTCAGTAGGTTGTAATTCTGCTGGTGTAAATTCTCCATCATCACCGGGACGAGCGGGAAGTAAAATGTCTTCACGGATCAAAAAACTGCCTTCGATGAAACATTAGTCAGTTGATCAGTTTTCAGCCTTGATTCAGTTGTGGAGAACTCTTTATCCTCACAGTGGTAACAGTGTGAAAGTATTTCTACCCCTTGTGCCACACACTTCAGAGTACTTTGCTTGGATTATATGTGACAGGTCGACGCAAAGTATCAATACAGACAAAAGTGGAAGCAAAATGCTGCAAAGATTTTAACGTTTTTCCCAACGTGTAACGAGCAGCACAGGCACAGTTTTTAAAAGGTGTGAAACTTGTGTTTTCACCATTCCACTTAAAACGTGTTATCACTTCCAGCAACGTCTAAAACTGTGTTTGAATCTTCTCAAATGAAGTGAAATATTCTACCAGTGCAGTAAGACCATTGCATTTGGTAAGACTTGTTGGAATAAGGGAAGATTTCTAGGCTGACAAGATTAATAATCTGCTCTTGTTTCGTGTGTCAGTCTCAAAATAAGATCAAAGATACTTTTTGGCTCATATAAGAGTGTCAAACTAGGGTAGATGAACATTTAGTCTTTATTCTAATGCATCTCAGTAATCCAGGTAGAAAAAAATCAAAAAGAAAAAATAAGTAGGTCCTCTGGATGGGTTCTTCTTTAGTTAGTAATTACATTAAAAAGTTAGTTAGTAAAGAAGAACCCATCCAGAGGACCTACGTATTTTTTCTTTTTGATTTATTTATTCTAATTTCACTTTTTTAGTTGGGTCTCAGTGGTTGTTCTACACAGTATTGGCTCAGGAAGACTGGATACAAATGTCGGATTCTGATTTTTTTACTTGGAAAACGTTTTGACCACCTTGTATCATTTTCCTTCCACTTTATACTTACGAGCTAAAAGGCACATAAAATCCCTGTGAAATACTTTGAATTCAAGATGTGTGGATACTTTTTTCCTGTCAGATGGGAAATATTTGGAGCAAATTCAGTGTATAAGATCCGACATTGGCAGCAATAATAACACGACAGTAAGAGTTAAAGCACAATACTGACCCAACTAAAGAGGAGCTTTTGTAGAGCTTACAGAAGAAACAGGTTAACCAGATAAGCTATCGTACATTTTCTGTGTATCGGTGAGGTCACTGTAACCAAGTACTGGTGGGAACCCAACTGATCCCAAAAAGCAGACAGGTGTGGGCCAGGTCTGGTGTCAAGCTGGCACTGTTGGCTGACTGCTGGCATGGTAAGTGGTTTGTCAACCAGATTTGGGCCAGATCGGGCAATGATGGCACTGTTTTAATACGGAATGCCACAACTGGCCCAGTTGTTTGATTTCTGTGGCTCAAATCTGACAGTGCCACAACTGGCCCAGTTGTTTGGTTTGTGTGGCCCAAATCTGTTAATGCCTCAAGTGACCTGGTTGTGGTTTGGTTTATGTGGCCCAAATCTGACAGTGCCACAACTGGCCCAGTTGTTTGGTTTGTGTGGGTCAGATCTGACAAAACCACATCTGGCCCAGTTGCTTGGATTATGTGGCTCAGACCTGACAATGCCACAACTGGCCCAGTTGTTTGGTTTATGTGGCCCAAATCTGACAGTGC